ATAAAACTACAATGGGATATGTGAAGACTCACAAATTTAGAAAGTGTTGAGGACTTTTTTCCTTAAATCTAACTAACTCTAACTCCAGTGGCTAAACTTCAAAGTCTTTTGCTGGGAATGTTTTTATGAGTTTTTCTTCCATTTTCTTCCTAGGACCTCATTTTGCCACTCTTAGATTGCATTACATCTTTGTCCTAGCCAATGTGTCAGTGTTTCTTACTGAGGACTTTTTTTTTTTTTTAATATTTACTTACTTTTTGGGAGAGTGCAGTGGGGGAGGGGCAGAGAGAGGGGGACAGAGGATCTGAAGCTGGCTCTGCTCTGACAGGCTGACAGTAGTGAGCCAGATGTGGAGCTCAAACTCAACGAACTGTGTGATTGGCACCTGAGCAAAAGTCAACCAACAGAGCCACCCAGGTGCCCCCTTACCAAGGACTTCTTTAAAATTCTTTTAGAAAACATAAAACTACTCCATTTCAGGCTTTGTTACTCTGTTACTCGGTTTCTTTGCTTTAAGCCTGGTGGCAGGGGAAAGCAGGAGTGTGGGTAGGATTTTTTTTTTTTTTTAAGTAAAATTACTAGGGACTCGTCCTGGAATTATGGGATCAAAGTCATAACTTTGCAAGTGTGGGAAGGTAGATTTAAGGTGAGCACAGCATCTGTGGCTCCTCAGAGACAGAACCAGTCTTTCCAGGTGTACCCCTCTTTAATTTTGACTTTCCCTCCCCTTGAGGCATTCCTTAGCCTGTAAATGCTGAAAATGAGGGGTATCCCAGCCCAGAATGCTGTCTCCTTAGCAAAAGTGACTCATCACACTGGCCAGAGCAGTTTCCAAACCAAAAATTCCCTCCAATTAATTGTTTTTTAAAGTGCGTCCTGCCACTTCCAAAGATGGAATCCAAACCCTACGCTTTTTCTTGCCTGAATTGGCTGCCTGTTTTCAGTTGTGGCTCATGTGTGCAATCAGATCCATCACACAAGGTCTTTAACCCCTATGGCCTCCATTAGTAGGGACACAGCATATGGTGATAGCTGAGCGGTGCCAGGGAAAGCACCAGCCTTTCCTGGGGCATCTGCAAGTCTGGTCCTTTAGACCAAACTGTAGGGTTTTCTCCATTGCTTCAGAAAGAATGAAAAATCTTTTGCACTGACATCTAAGAGGCAACTGCAGAGAAAGGACACAGGAGATAACCACCTTTAGCAGATCAACCAGGTGTAATTGATCTTCCACAGTGAAAGGAGGTTTCTAAAATCTGTGCTCTGGGTGGCTTTGCAAAAGCGTTTTCACTTCTCCCTACCACCCTTTTCTCCTTCACTTTATTTTCCTATATGTGAAACAACTTCAGAGGGATACAGTTTCTGCATCATCAGTCCCCTTGGGCCCTCTGCAGAGGGATATGCGAAATAGACACTGCAGAGAAAAGAAGCAGCCAGCACCCGGGCTGGGTAGCAGTTTAAGTTGTGAGTAGTTGCTTAGTACCTATAAAAGGAAGGGTGTCATCAAAGCTCAGCATTATAGGGGTGACAGCAGCTGTAGGGGTCTAATTAGCTGACCCTGTGGCTCTGTTGTTTTTTTTAATCCCCCAAAAGAGAAGCTTCTTACCCTTTCTTCCACCTGAGTGGTTGCATACAACACAGATCTGTCCCCAGGAGGTTGTGTTCTGGGAATTGAGGGGGCCCCCAGATGTTTTGTGCCTGCAGATAAAGGGAAAGCCCCCGACAGCCTCCTCTGTTGGAGAAGGAAGAATTTCTGGGCAGCGCAGACATTAGACATCTAAGGTAGTTTTTGCCTTTTGTTCACTTTGATTTCCTTCTGGATTTAGCAATGGAGGGGTTTATATGTTACTGTGATTCTTTCGGTCTATAATTTTTAGCCCCTTTTGCTTTCATTGATCCCTCTTCTTAGACTAAACTTGGAGAAATGGGGTACTTCTGTTTTGGATACCACTGCTAGTTGTGTTCATGCTTGTGACTCCTGAAGCCATACAGCCCTTTGTTGTGTGGCAGACATCCCATGATCTTGTTTACCTGCTCATTCTCAACACTCCAAAAGAAACCCCTGTAGGTTGGTGCGATTTCTCTGAGAAAATGGCTTCATGTGTGCTCAAAAGAAAAACTATTTTCAGTGTAAGTAAACTCCTGTAGGAAACAAATGCTAAATAGTTACATAACCGAGCTGTCAGAGAGCAAGCTGAGGCTCCTGGGGATGTTCCTTGGCCCCTTTTCGTTTCTTTTAACAACTATCAACTCAGACTCAACACTGGCCATGTGCAGAACCCTGGGCCGGGTGTGAGGAAGGAGGATGGATGGACCCATGGACCGGGCTGACCTGGTGGATCCGTCCATAGCCCTGACTGCTCCTGCCACAGCCCTGACTGCTGCTGCCACAGCCTGCAAGCTAGAGTCCCCCTGTGGGTCTGCCATCATCAGACGCCACGGTCTCTTCTGCTTTTTCCTACACCTCCTACAGGAAAGTGCCACCATCCCTTTTTATCCCCAAAGGAAAGTAGAATTGTCGTTTTCCTCTTTGTACTGTTTTGTCAGCGAAGGCTTTATTCCTTTATTCTGGCGGGATCCACAAAGGATGTAAGGCAGCCCTGAGACAGCACATGCTTGTTTTCCTTTGATTAGTGAGACGAGATCTATGGGTGTCTCAGTTGGGGAACAGTCTCATTGCCATCGTGCCATGAGTACAAGCTTAGTCTGGAGAATTCAGTTGGGCTGAAGAGGAGCTATGTCAGCTTTGTTTCCAGAGACTTTTGAACTGATCCTGACCTCTCACATCCATCCCACCATTAACCTCCATCTTGCCCCGCATAGTAACGCATTGAAAGAAGAGTTAATGGATTCTGTGTTGTTGTTTTCTAAGTGTATTTATTTTTATTTTTATTTTTTTTTTAATTTTTTTTTTCAATGTTTATTTTTGGGACAGAGAGAGACAGAGCATGAACGGGGGAGGGGCAGAGAGAGAGGGAGACACAGAATCGGAAACAGGCTCCAGGCTCTGAGCCATCAGCCCAGAGCCTGATGCGGGGCTCGAACTCCCGGACCACGAGATCATGACCTGGCTGAAGTCGGACACTTAACCGACTGCGCCACCCAGGCGCCCCTATTTTTATTTTTGAGAGAGAAAGAGCATGAGCAGGGGAGGGGCAGAGAGAGAGGGAGAGGGAGAATCCCAAGCAGGCTCCGCACCAGTCAGTGCAGAGGCCCACCACAGGACTCCATCCCACAAACCATGAGATTATGACCTGAACCGAAGTCAAGAGTCAGATGTTTAACTGAGCCAGCCAGGTGCCCTTATGTTTTTATTTGTAATGAATTTATTAAATGTTTTTTTGATTTCAAGTTTATATTTAAATTCTAATTAGTTAACATGTAGTATGATATTGGTTTCAGGAGTAGGATTTAGTGATTCATCACTTACATATAACACCCTGTGTTCATCACAAGCGCCCTCGATGGGTTCTATGTTTAAGTCTCTTCCATGGAGGCAACAAAAGGGACAATGTGAGTGAGTTTTTTCCATTCAAATTCGTATTTTTTTGGTTGTGTGGTTTTCTGTACCATGTGAGATTACAGGCAGAACTGAACAGTTGTACTTGAAGGTCTTATGGTGTTTGGACCAAGTCCTTAGCCCCTGTCAGGGCTCCATCCTCCCTTTCAGGTAGGGGAAACAGTTCCTTCATTGATAGAATACAGCTGCTGAGCTCAGGCAGCCCTGAGATCGTCTCTCAGTTTAGCCATTTACAAGCCATGTTTGGGCAAGTTTCTTAACAACCCTGAGCCTCAGTTTCCTCATCTGTAAAATAGGGTTAAAAACCAGTTATCTTATTGGAAGGATTAAATGAGACAAACCCTTGTCTGTCTGTGATAGGGGCTCTGTAAATGGATGCTTCTAAACGTTAGAACCACCTCAAGAACCTCTGCCATGTATCCAGGGTGCTTGGCCCCTGTGTAGCATCTTTAATCTTCATCTGTTCATCAAGGTGAACTATTGTAGGTACATAGTAGATACTCAGAAAATGTTGAATGAACAAGGGTGCCTTGGTATTTTGTCCTGTTGCCTTAGAACAGCACTTCACACTGTGACAAAAGTCATTGGGAGATGCCCTGACAGATGCTTTGAGGAAACTGGCCAGTTAGATTTGAGGAATGCTGGAGAGTCTACAGTATATAGATAGATTCTAGCCCTCTCTAGAGACGAATAGTGCATACCACTATTAGAGAAGCTCGGAAAAGTTGGGGAGAGAAGAAATCTTCCCATCTTTTCAAATTTGGCATCTTCCAAGCTCATTTGACTATATGGGATCACAAGAGTACCTCCATGAGGCTGTGATGAGGCTTTAATGGGTTAATTTGTGTGAAGCACTTAGGACAGTGCTGGGTGGAGTGAGCACCACGAAGGGGTGGCTGTAACTAAGTGCTTTTTAATCTGTGGACTCGAGAGTACTTAGCCATTCCCTTATTGATGGGTATTTGAGTTAATTTCCAACAGTGTATTGTTACAGACAGTGCTGCAGTAAAACCCCTGTATCTGTGTGTAGGTATTTCTGTGGGAGAGAGTTCTAGAAGCAGAACTGCTGGCGTGCCTAGGTGGCTCACTCTGTTGAGCGTCTGACTTCTCTACTCAGGTCATGATCTCACACTTCATGAATTTCAGCCCCATGTCGGTCTCTGTGCTGACAGCTCAGAGCCTAAAGCCTGCTTTGGATTCTGTGTCTCCCTCTCTCTCTGTCTCTCTCAAAAAAATAAAAAAGTTAAAAAAAAAAAAAAAAGTAGAACTGCTGGGTCAAAGGATATGCACATTCAGAAATTTGATAGTTCCCTCAGAATGACCTTCCAAAATCTGATCAGCCATTATCTAACGGCCCCTTTTCCCAGGAGAGAGATAAGAAGCTATCTTCCCACACCACATGTGTGCTGGATCCTTCCCTTCTCCTCCTATGCTCCGTAACTGAAAACAGAATGGACACAATGGAAAGTCACCCCTTTTTTTTGTCTTGCAGAGTCTGGCCACAGATAAGGGACCAAAATGACCGACTCAAAATATTTCACCACCACCAAGAAAGGTACTGTTTATTTCTTTGTGGGGTCTCTTCCTACCCTTTCTGTGCCCCACCCTTCTGCCTTCTCCCTGCTGGGGTGGGGCTTGCGGTAGGGGGTGGAGGCCTAGAAGCAATTGGTGGGGATTACCCAAGCATCTTTAACCTTGTGGATCCAGAAAATTGAAGTATTGATGGTGTAAGAAATTGACCACTTCTTTTAGACCTCAGGAAGGGAAGAGCATTAGCTCCAAGTGTAGCGGGGGAACAAAGCCCTCGTTTGTTCCCCATGGTCTAACGTTCAATGTTTTTTGCTGGAGGAAAGAAAGCACACAATCCTATCAGTAACCCCACAGCGATTGTGTGTGTGTGTGTGTGTGTGTGTGTGTGTGTGTGGTCTTTATCCATGGGCACATGTTTTACGTGAAGTCAGAATTTATATCCTGTTTTTCATTTGACATTATCTTAACCATTTCCCCACAGTTCTAACGACTCAATGTTAAGTCTGCTGAGTTGCTGCACTGAAATTTGCTAAGCTAGTCTTATGTTGTAGGGTATTGTTTCTGCTTTCTGGAAAACAGGTGGTTGTAGTGGCTGACGAATGTGCTTTAACCCTGTAAGCTTCTTTCTGACTGGCCCTTCCTTCCTCCCTCCCTCCTTCCTTCCAAGTGAGATTGACACAGGCCTGCTGACCAGATGAAAAGAGTCTGTTGTCGCGACAGCTGAGACACCTGAGCCGGGACCTGCAGCCTGCCCCTTACCAAGCACTTCAATTATTGGTCAGCCGGTTTTTACTGAGCCCCTTCCCTGTGCAGTGGAGGCGGCAAACTGGAGTCTCTGACCTGGCTTTGCTTGCAGTTAAGCAGAGAAGACAGTCTATTAAAAATAGTAATCACACTAAAGGGTGGTAGGTGTTATGACAAGGGCAGTACCTGGGGCTGTGGGAGGACCTTGGGTGGAGCTAGCTAGATAAGAAAGTGGAAGGGAGGGTAGCTCTTGCTCTGCCCAAGGAAAGCACATGGGCACAAGTTACCAGAGTGTGATGGAAGGTTGGAGAGGTGTGCAGGGCTGGAGGGGGTGAACCTATTGCTAAGTGTATTGGGGCATCAGTGGTGGGGTTTTTGTGGGTTTTCTTTTGAGGAGAATGTCTGCAGAGGGATGCCTGGGTCCCAATCAGACATCAGTGATGGTTTTAAGCAAGAGGAGGTGCAAGGCAGATTCTAATAAAGTTTTGAAGAGGGTGAAGATTGGGGCGAAGCAGGAAGACCAGTTACTAAAGCTCCCATGAGAGATAATAGTACCTGAGCCAGTGGGGTGGGGGTAGCATTGTGGGTAGAGAGAATTGGGTGCGTGGTATGTGACTGAGGCAGTAGGCTTGGTGACCGATTGGATTTGGGGCCCATTAGAGGAAAGAGAGATTTCAGAAACAGGCAGATCCCAGGTTCATCTCACCAGTCTTCTTAGAACTGGGGTGATGCAGGCCTAGATCCATCAATTGACGGCCAGTTGTATTGAATCTGACCAAACACTTTAAGCAAAGCAGGGGCAGCCCTGCAGCAGGAGCCAGGGTCAGAGTCCTCGTGGTCTGTTGGATCCTGCAGCAGGGAGACGTGGCCCCCTCAGTCTCTTGAGGAGAAGGGCCTGTGTTCCTTCAGTCCTGTAGAATCAAGAGTCTGAACTGCAAGGTTTGCAGATTCCTCCTGGTTCTGTTGAGCAATATCCTCAGTGTGGCCTTGCCCTGGGCTGTACTGGGCACTGTTCTTCATTAACTTTGTTTGCTGTCTGTCGTCTTAAGTTCTTTCCTGAACACCACATCGTTCAGTCATGATAAAAACCTGCAAGTTTTTTTTTTTCTCACTGTAAATCCATCTAGATCTCTGCTTTATTCCCACCTGGGACACTTCTACAAAAGAGGGATCTAAGCCAAAGGTCACATGGCAAGTTACTAATAAGAACAGTCTCCTTTCATGCAGGGCATTGAGTGCTGGCACTGAGATGAGCATTTTACTTCTGAGTGTTAAATGAGAGACTTCACTGTTCCAGCCAAAGTAGAGAGTGTACAGACAAGGAAGCCGGTTCAGAGAAGCAAAGGGATGTCCTTGGTTGGCCCGAGCATGTGGGCTTTGGAGCTGGCAGACCCGGTTTTGAATCTTGGCCCTATCTGCTACTAGCTGCATATTCTTGGGCAAGTTTCTGAACCTCTCACAGCCTCTAGGTGCTCATCTGCAAAATGGGAAATGCAGAGTTGTCATGAGGATGAAATGAGAAGTGGGGAAAAGTTAGTGTGGCACCTGACTTGAAGAGAGGCTCAGGAAATCCTGGCGGCTGCTGTTGTGAGGGCAGGAGGCCTGTCTCATTCCAAAGTCTGCCCTTGTAACCGTCAGTGGGGTTATCTGGGCCCTGAACAACCCTATTTCCTCATTTGTTTTTTCCAGATCATCAAGTTCTTAAGAACAGTGTATTACGTGCTCGAGCCCTTGTGAGGCAGCTGAATTCCTATTTTCAGAGCTGAACAACCACATGTGGCTCAGGAAGTGAAACCCTGAGTGCGCTGTTTTAACTGGAGGTTCAGGAAAACAGGAAAAGCCAAGTGTGGGAATCAAGCAAATCCTACGCTCTCCCTTCCAATTTTCAGTCCTCAGATTCCATCACACACTGCCTTGGGGGTTTGGGTGAGGGTGGCTGAGGAGCACTTTCCTCTGAACGTGTTTAACCGTCTGGCTGAGCAGGACCTGCCCTCACACTTTGTGTCAGAACCTTTGTAGCTTCCACAGCTGCCTCTGTTCAGTCTAGCACGACCTCCAAGCTTCCCTCTTGATGATTCCTCTCCTAAGAGTTGTCCTTCTCTGCTGCCTGTGTCACTGAGACCAAGGACCTAAACAATCTCATTGTTTTGGGATTGGAAGATTGGGAATGGCCCCCCGGCAGGGTGGGGTTGGATCACTCATGCGTCCCTCCTTTTTTAGGGGAGATCTTCGAGCTGAAGGCAGAGCTCAACAGTGACAAGAAGGAGAAGAAGAAGGAGGCGGTAAAGAAAGTGATTGCGTCCATGACCGTGGGCAAAGATGTCAGGTGTGTAGGCACAGGCCAGGCGGCAGCCGGAGGGGGGCTTCATAGCTTGGGTCTAATTCAGATCTCTCCTTGAGGGGATCTTTAGGGACCTGTGTCTCCCCTTGTTACAGCTCCCTTCCTGAACCTCCTTTCCAAACAGAAGGGCTTTGTTTACAGAGGGGTCCCGTGCTCAGATGCTGCTGGGGTCAGGTGGTAGTGGGGTAAGTGAAGTAGGCAAGGTCAAAAAGGCAACAGGCAATGAAGTGGCTGTGATGTGAACCCTGTCAGAAACTCCAGAGGATTGCTGCCCGCTGGAGAAAATGGCACCCAGTGTGGGCAGGTCTACTGGTTTTCTAAAAGGACAGGAAATCTGGATTTTTTATTTTAAATCTCGCTGTTTTCTATCGCTAGATGATGTTAAACAAACACATACACACTGCGGATAAGCTCTGTCCCAGTAACATGCACCTGCAAGTGGGAATTGTTGAATTTGTCGCTGGTTTGCAGCCTCTACTTTGCATGTGGTTGCCAGAGCAGATCATATGTAGTATTGCTGCCTCTTCTTTGCTCCTGCGTTGTCCTTGCGTGGAATGTCCCTTTCTTCATTTCCGTTTATTGGCTTGTTTTTCTGACTCTTAAAAACCTGTTCAAGGTCTCCCTGTTGCCTTCCCTCATCACCGCAGCCCACCGCCCTGAATGTGCAGCTCTTGCTCTGTGTTTTGTCACTAATTCTGTCCTTTTCCTACACGTACTTGTGTTTCCCTGCCCACCACGTCATAAAGGCCCCAAGGACAGGGACTGGATTTTGCAGCAACTTAATGCAGAGCACTTGATAGTATGCAGAACACCTTCAGATGCGTTTACCTAGCTGTTCCTTATAATTCCTGTATTGTAGGTAATGATGTATTCATGGCCAGGGAAACCACATAAAGAAGGGAGTGTGGTGACTTCCTGGCAGTCACGTGGTTAATGACAGAACTAGGACTCATGCCCAGCCCTTCTGAAATCCAAATCCAGGGCGATTCCACCCATCCCCTCTCCTCTGTGCCCTCATAGTACCCAGCTCCACGCCTCAGAGGCCTGGAGCAGCACATCCGGGTCCCGTGTCAGGATTGCACTGCTCCAGACTTCTCCACGGATTGCCCTATCCCATGGCCACCTCAGCAAGGGACCTCCTGACAGGGCCGCAGAAGAAACAGTTCTGCAGGGAGACTTGCTGTAGAGAGAGTGGCAAAGGGATCAGGCATCTGCTGGAAAACTGGGCCTCCTTCCAAGTCAGATCCTTTCAGGACAAAGCCACTCTCCTTTAACTAGAACACCACTGTTACCTCCTCACAGAGGAAGCATCTTTGTTCTTCCATCTCAAGTAGACTTGTGCTCATGTGACATGCCTGTCAACTGTCCCTCTCCTCCACCCCCCTCTTGCTTCCTGGTTCTTCGCCTTCCGAGGTGATGCCTCAATTTCAGCACCAACTGGGCTATTTCCTATGGAGGCCCAGGAAGCTCACTTTGACCTCTTAAGTCTCTGTTACCACATTCTCGTGCATTAAGTGAGAAAACTTGAGAGGGGAGGCTATGATTCCAGAGACATAAAATAGGCTTCTAACTAAGCATATTTCACATCTCTGGGGTGCTGGGTGGCTCAGTCGGTTAAATGTCCAACTCTTGACTTCGGCTCAGGTCATGACCTCACGGTTCTGTTTGTGAGTTGGAGCCCCGCATCTGCTGACAGCACAGAGCCTGGTTGGGATTCTGTCTCCCTCTCTCTCTGCCCCTCCCCTGCTTGCTCTCTCTCTCTCAAAATAAATAAGTTAAAAAAAACTTTTTTTAGGGATGCCTGGGTGGCTCAGTTGGTTAGCGTCCAACTTCAGGTCATGATCTCATGGTCCATGGGTTCGAGCCCTGCTGACAGCTCAGAGCCTGGAGCCTGCTTCGGATTCTCTCTCTCTCTCTCTCTCTCTCTCTCTCTCTCTCTCTCTCTCTCAAAAATAACTAAACATTAAAAAAAAATTAAACATTTTTAAAAAGCATATTTTGCATCTCTAAGGGCCTGTGGCTCTGGGACTGTGGGGTACCATGTTGGGAGGGGCTCCCCTCAGATTAATGGCAGTCACGAGCATGATTAGATCCAGACCTGGCTCCTCAGGCCAGCTGACATTTGTGAGCCTCAGTATTGTCTTCTGTAAAATGAGGATAAGAGCCTGGCTTCTCGGGGCTGTTAAATGAGACCATGTATATAAAGCCCATTCATCCTGGCTGATTTTTAGTGGGCACCTGAGCTGGCCCTTGTGGTCAAAGCAGCATGGTCCATCCCTGCTTCTAGAACCAACATTCTAATATAAGGGGCCATGTTAAGTATCAGGGAAGGAAAACAGTTGTTTTCAAGTAGTCCGTACTCTTGGATGGCAAGGACCAGACACCTAAAGTATATTGTCTTTCATTATCATAAGGGCCCTGTGTAATGGGGTTTTGTTTCACCTTTCCTGCAGGGCAGGTGAGGAAACTCAGACTTGGTGGGAGGCTGAAGGAATTTTCCCAACTTCATACAGCTAGCGTTAGACAGAGCTGGGGTTGAGCCAAGTCTGATGGGCTACAGAGCTTGTATGTGAATGAACCCTGTGAAAAGAACAGAGGACTTTGCTTTTCAAATCAAGTTTTGGGTTCTGTTTCTACCAATACGTGTTCGTGGTAACAGAGCAGAGCTGATGTCCTCCCTTTTTCTAGGAAGTCCTGTTATCTTTTTACTTCCCTCCTATCCACTGTCTCTGTGTCCTGCACCTCCCCATACACACTCCCCATTAGCTGTTTGAAAAATCTTCTTCCTTTCTCCAGCCTTACCCCACACTCACACCATTTTGACTTTCCAGTGCCCTCTTCCCCGATGTGGTGAACTGCATGCAGACAGACAACCTAGAGCTGAAGAAGCTGGTGTACCTGTATTTGATGAACTATGCCAAGAGTCAGCCCGACATGGCCATCATGGCTGTCAACACCTTTGTGAAGGTGAGTGGGAGCTTGGTGGGAGGAAGAGCAGAGGGCCTGGGTGCTCAGTGGTCCATCTCCCTTTTGTCTCTTGGGATAGGACACTATGGCCCTGAGCAAAAACACTCAGGCTCTTTTCTAGTCCCTCCAACTCCTAGCCTGAGGGCTGCCTAGTCCTCCAGCAGGGGGCTCCCACTCTCTCAGAAAATCAGTTGCTACAGACCCTGCTAACTCATTCCGTGTGAGGTGACCTAAAGCCTGTTGACCTCCATGTGTCCCTGAGATGCACCATTGCCCTACATCCTTTGCCAGGGCAGGATTCAGCAAGCATCTGAGAGCTGTGTTCCCCTTCTAGACTTTGCCCTTTTCTGTGTTTTCCATCCTCCAGATTAAGGAGCAAACGAGAACTTGAAGTGTCAGTGCTGTGTATCTTTAGGACCTTCCTAGCTCCCCTCGCCCTGTCAGTGCTCAGATTCAGACACGTGAGGGGTTCTGTGGGGTATGGTGCTCGGCTTGAGTTTGAATGTGGGTTTGAATCATGGCTCGGCTCTGTGACTGGGCGAGCTCCCAGTCTTCCTGGGAGCCTCAGCTGCTCCACCTGTAAAATGGGAACAGTATTGTGTGTCTGCTGTGAGAATCAGAGACAACATTGCACAGAGCCCCAGCACAGTATCTGACAAATGCTGGATGTCCCCACATGGCACTTACTTCTGGTGCTGTTGGCCACAGTTGGTGGGAGATCCCACAGCAGCACCTGATGTTGCTCAGTCTGCCCCTGCTCCCCTGGCCAATGGCTGATTCTCCTCAGGACTGTGAGGATCCCAATCCCTTAATCCGAGCCCTGGCCGTGCGGACCATGGGTTGTATCCGCGTTGACAAGATCACAGAGTACCTGTGTGAGCCACTCCGGAAGTGCCTGAAGGATGAGGACCCATACGTGCGCAAAACGGCGGCTGTGTGTGTAGCCAAGCTCCACGACATCAATGCCCAGCTGGTAGAGGACCAGGGCTTCCTGGACACCCTTAAAGACCTCATCTCTGACTCTAACCCCATGGTAAGCCGTTGCCATCCACCATGCCAGTTCCATTACCTACTGGGTTGCTTGGGAGCACCTTGGCTTGACCCTCCACCAGGTGCTCCCTGGGTCCTGGAAGTCAGAGCCTTGCTGGGTAGGCTAATTGTTCTCCTCCCTGTAGTGGTTTGGGAACCATCTTTGGAGTGAGCTAGACCTGAGTTGCCTTCTCTGTGGCCTTTCTAACATGAGCTATTGTGACCTTGGGTGGGCCGCCTAACCTTCCAGAGCCCTCTTTTTTTCGTCAGTAAGATGGATCTAATTCTCCGTGGCCGGCAGGAGTGCTGTGAGGCTTAACCTGTGAAGGTAATGTGCCTGGCATGGCCCAACACACAATGGGCATGCAACCAAGACTAGTGCCCTCCTTCCCCTTCCAGTCACTGTCACTGTCACTGTCACTGTCTTACCGACACCATCGGTGAGCTCTGAATGTGAAGTACTTTTCCTTTTCCCCACATCTTTGCAGGGTTGCAAAGGGTCACTCTTAAAGTAGCATAGCCTGGAAGACAGGGCACCAGGGTATGGCTGGGAGGGAGCTCCTCCTCACACATAGGATGGCAGCAGTTTGGAAGGCAGTTTGGCAGTCACTGTTTAAAGTGAAATGCACAGAGGTGCCTGGCTGGCTCAGTGGGAGGAGCGTATGACTTTTTTTTTTTTTTTTTTTTTTTTTTTTGTTAATGTTTGTTTATTTTTGAGAGAGAGAGAGAGTGTGAGTGGGTGAGGGGCAGAGAGAGAAGGAGACACAGAATTTGAAGCAGACTCCAGGCTCTGAGCTGTCAGCACAGAGCCTAACACAGGTCTCAAACTCACAGACCGCAAGATCATGACCTGAGCTAAAGTTGGATGCTTAACCGACTGAGCCACCCAGGCGCCCCTAATGTTTATTTGTTTTTGAGAGAGAGACAGAGACAGAGTGTGAGCAGGGGAGGGGCAGAAAGAGGGAGACACAGAATCTGAAGCAGGCTCCAGGCTCTGAGCTGGCAGCACAGAGCCCAACTCAGGGCTTGATCTCACAGACCACGAGATCATGACCTGAGATGAAGTCAGACGCTTAACCAACTGAGCCACCCAGGTGCCCCAGGGAGCATGCGACTCTTGATCTCAGGGTTGTGAGTTTGAGCTCCATGTTGGGTGTAGAGATTACTTAAATAAACAAAACTTAAAAAAAAGTGAAATGCATAAACCCCTCAGCTCAGCCATCCCGCTCTGTCCTACAGAAACACTGATCACACATGGGTGCTGAGTGGCCAGTACAGGATTGGCCAGTAGAGCACCGTTTGTACAGGGAAGAGTTCAAAACCCTGCAGAACACACATAAAAACAGCTACTCTGGTGGAAATGGGTTGAGAGTCCAGTGCTTCACCTGGCAACCTCCCTGGACTCCAGCCCCCATCTGTTGCCAGCAGACCTAAGGGGCTCTGTGGAATCTTCTAGCTCCGAGAAGCACCCTCAACAGCCCCTGAATTGATTTGCTATAGGTGGTGGACAGGGGCCGTGTGTTAGGTGGCTAGGAATGTTTTCTGTTGCCGGGCATTTGGAGCCCGATCTTTCCTTTGTTTCTTTTGTTTTGCCTCTTTTTTTTTTTTTCCCCACTGGTTGGGAGCACTTATGTTTGTTCTGGTTTACAGGGGAGTCTGTAGGGTGAGTGCTTGGAGGGGGTCTCAGTGCTGCAGACCCTGCCCATCGGGTCCTGTTCCTTTCAGGATATTCAACCTCTGACCGGCCAGCATGATTAGCCCCAATGCCCTGTGGCCCGAGCAGCGCCCCCAGCCTCTGCCCCTTCCACCCTCTCAACCAGGTGGTGGCAAACGCAGTGGCTGCCCTGTCAGAGATTGCCGAGTCTCACCCCAGCAGCAACCTGCTTGACCTGAACCCGCAGTCCATTAATAAGCTACTGACAGCCCTGAATGAGTGCACCGAGTGGGGCCAGATCTTCATCCTGGACTGCCTGGCCAACTATACGCCCAAAGATGACCGAGAGGCCCAGAGGTGAGCAGGCTGCCCCTTGCTTGCCAGCCCAGCGGGACCTGGTCCTTGCAGGGCTCCAACCATGAGCTGGGCCTCAGACCTCTACTGGGCCCTTTGCCAGGGCTTTGCCCCACAGACCATCCTCAGACACATCTCAAGGGAGGCCAGAGCCAGGCAGTCAGCTCCCTGCTCAGCATGGTACAGACAGAACAGAAGCCAGTGCCTGATCTGGTTGCTGACAGAGACCCCGGTCACCTTGGGCTGAGTAAAGGAGGTGGATAGTACCAGAGTCTTCATTCACTGGATTCTTTCTGGGTGGCTGGGGCTCTGCTGAGCGCTTCCTATGCATTAGATGATCCTTAACGCACCTCTGTGGAAGCTGCCCCATCATTGTCCACATTTTACAGGTAAGGAAACACCAGCTTAGAAGGTGGAAGAAGTCATGCAGGTCACTCGCCTGGGTCACCCCTCACTTTTGGTCCTACCCAACATGATACCTTGCCCCTTTTGAATGCCCTTGTAGCGAGGGAAGGGAGGGACTTGACAGTTACCCAGTATTTATTAACTACCATGCACCATGCTTGGTGCTTTATGTGGTTTATCTCATGTAAGCCCTCAGCAACCCTGTGAAGCTGGCATCCTCACCTCCGTTTTCTAGATGAGGAAACAGACTCTGAGTGGTTTTAACCTGTTGGGGTCAGTTAGCAAGCACCAGAAGCAGGATCTCGATCTTCCTACAGAAAACATACTCCCTCAATAACTAAAAACAGGGTGTCTTCCTTGTCTGTCTCTCCTGTTTGTCCCCCTCCTTGGAATGGACCCCAGCATCTGTGAGCGGGTCACCCCCAGGCTCTCCCACGCCAACTCTGCTGTGGTGCTGTCTGCTGTGAAGGTGCTGATGAAGTTCATGGAGATGTTGTCCAAGGACCTGGACTACTATGGCACACTGCTCAAGAAGCTGGCCCCACCCCTGGTCACGCTGCTGTCGGCCGAGCCTGAGCTGCAGTACGTGGCCCTGCGCAACATCAACCTCATCGTACAGAAAAGGTACCTGGGCTGCCGCAAACATGCAGCGTGCACTCAGGGTCGGGGGGCATCTCTTGACGGGATCAGGACCAAAGGGAAGCTGCCCTGTCACCGTACAGGAAGTCTTAATAGCTTAACCCAGAGTCTTAGCCACAGGCAGCTTTGTTCCCCAAGGGATATTTAGAAATGTCTGGAGACATTTTTGGTTGTCACACTTTGGGAGGTACTACTGACACCTAGTGGATGGAGGCCAAGGATGCTGCTCAGTGTCGTGGAGTGCACAGGACAGCCTCCACCCCCAGAGAACTCTCCATCCCAAAATGTCAGTAGTGCTGAGGGTGAGAAACCCTGGCTTCACCTAATCAGGTAGCACGTGAGGTAAAGAGCAGCATGGAGCTTCTTAACCATACACAAGGGATAGCTCCATAGTCCACAGGACCGAAACAGGGTGTAAGATTGTGTGTGTGTGTGTGTGTGTGTGTGTGTGTGTGTGTGTGTGTGTGTATGTATTTTCCCTGGGGACAGAGTCTATAGTTTTAGTCAAATTCTCAGAGGTTGGAGGACTCCAAAGTGGTGAAGTGCTATGGACTTTGCATCGGATTGGGGGCTGAGCAGGAGGGTGCGAAAGTCACTCAGAAGACCATTTCTGTTCACCCCATAGAACGATCACAGCTGTAAGCCACTGCTTCTAAAGGGAAGTGCCTGATACCCAGGGTGGGTGGAGCTGAAAAACAACTAGTGCGGTCTCAGGGGCTCAGAACAGGAGGGGTTCTCTGGAACAATCCAGAGAACAGAGTGAGGCTGGTCTCTGGAGTTCTCCCAGCCTTTTTAGTCAAATGGCTCTCTCAGCAACTAATTCATGAGCGTCCGTGCATTCCGGCAGCCCCCTTGCTGGAAGCAGGGCTATGTGGAGAACAAGGGCCTCTTGTAGGCATTCTTTCTTGGAAGATAGCACATCTGCCTGTCCTTGAAGCATCATTCTGGTTCTTAGGACACTCTTGGGGGCCTAGAGATAGCAGTGGAATCGTGACAGTTGTGAAGGTTTGGGAGGTAAATTTGGGAACACTTTTTGAGTGCCTACACAGCCCTAAGACTGGGGATTCATTTGTAGTTGCGGTGTGGGATTTAGTGAGGTGTAGCGACCTGTACACCCCAATCAGCATGAAGGGCTCCCTGTGCTATATTTAACGTGGCAAATCTCTTAAGAAGTTGACTGTGTTGCCCAGGCACCACCTGGCCCGGTCCCAACATGGTTGGGTGGCTTTTGCCAAGTCCTGATTGCAGAAATCATGTCTTCCTGTACCCCAGCTTAGGATCCTGTCTCCCCCGCTAGGCATGACAAAGCCTCCTTACTTTGCCAGCACCTCCCCGCAGTTGTACAGCAGCACTGAGTACTACCTGGGTAGGGTCCCTCCTTCCTGTCTGCTGTGTCTTCTCTCCTGCTTTTTTCTTCCTTCCTTCTGTTCTGGAAAGGGCATAGGAGTGGGGGGTAGTGACTCTCACTTCTGCCCTTACTAACACTAGGTATGTGACCTGGTGCAAGCCCCTCCACCTTTCAGGTTTCCTCATCTAAGAAAAACGAGGTGCGTGGTACCAGTTGAGGGAGGGGCAGTGACACTGGTGACAGCTCCTGCATAGCAAGTGCCTTCTTGGAGGCAGGTGTCGATCATGCTGGATGCTTCCCATCTACCTCTCACCCTGTAGGTGTCTTTTGGGGTCCCCAGGACCGACCTCATGTTCAGAGATTCACTAGAAGGACTCACGGGAGTCAACATATAGTTGTTTTCATGGCTCAGATTTAGTGTGGACATAGGAAGGATACACAGGTGGAGTCTGGAGGAATCCATGTACAGGGAGGGCATCACACACAGCACACTCTTCCCCCAGCAACAAAAAATGCAGCAACATGTGTGTAATTTTTTCTGCCCAGGGATGCCTATTGAAGACTCAGCGCCCTAGGATTTTACTGGGGCTGTTCACATACGCACCTAGCAAAATTTCAGACTCCCAGAGGGAAGGCAGATATTCAGCATAAATCGTATTATTTATACAAACAGTCTAGGCACAGTTAGCCACCTTTATCATTTAAGGAACAGTGAGAACACTCCCGAAAAATGAGCTCCCAGATGCCAGGCCTTTCTAGGACTAGAGACTGAGGCCTGCAATGGTAACGCTTCCTGTATGGTGTCATTTTGATTTCATGAGTGAGAAAACAGAGGCCTGAGGTCACAAGCTGGGATTGGCACAAGGTCTGATTGCCACGCCCGTCTCCTGGTGCCTGCTACCTCTCAAATATGAACTGTCTCTTGCTCATATTCCCTCTTCCCTTCCTGGGATATGGTTGGTCATACAATGGCCAGTCAGAACCTTGCTCAGGATCAGTCAATGGATCCTTGCCCAGGAACCTGCAGCCACAACAGTTCAGATATCAGGGTCTGCCTCACACCCCAGAAATGCCCCAGTAAACATGGAAGGGGTTTTCTCATAGGGCTTACGCCCTGCTTTCTGCTCTTCGGGCAATCCTGTCTTGCCACCAGGCCTGAGATCCTGAAGCACGAAATGAAGGTCTTCTTTGTGAAGTACAATGACCCCATCTACGTGAAGCTGGAGAAGCTGGACATCATGATCCGTCTGGCCTCCCAGGCCAACATCGCCCAGGTCAGCAGAGGGCTGCAGCCAGGGACGTGAGCTTTGGTATTGGACAGCAGCCCCACCACCAAGCTGTGGTCTCGAGGCAGGCTGCCTTGTCTCACCATTAACAGTTCATCTCATGAAGAGTGCTTAGCGCAGGGCTCCAGAGGCAAGCACTCAGCAACTCTTAACTGACATTTTTATGATTAAGGCATTTGTTCTCCCTATTACTTATCTATCCATAGAAAAGTGGTAGTTCGGTGGCCATGTTAGCTAGATCAGCCTAAACAAGGGTTGTCCAGTCCTGCCAATTAGTTCTTCCCTGCTTTCCTCTTGGGCCACCTGACAGCTCTCTCCTTCCCTTGACCCTTCCACCTCAAGCAGGACGCAGAATCTCATCCTTCTGGGGGTCTACATACACTTTGTCCAGGGGTGTTGGTTGCCCTGCCAGATCCCCCCTCCCAACCCCACCTTCTCTGTTTCGGCCACAGGTTCTGGCAGAGCTGAAAGAATATGCAACAGAGGTGGATGTGGACTTTGTACGGAAGGCTGTGCGAGCCATCGGCCGCTGTGCGATCAAGGTGGAGGTGAGGCTCTGGGACTCTGTCCTCTGGTGGGGGAGAGGGAGGAGAAGGAAGCTGAAACCAGGAAACCAGTCTGATTGTAGCAGAATCTGTCAGCTGCTCATGGTCCAGGAAGGCCTGAGGGTCACTGGAGGCCCCAAGGCACACATTGTGCAGATTTGATTAGGCTCCTCTCTCTGTAATCGCCTTTAGGCCTTCAGGTTGTTGCCGATGAAACAAACCCATCTGTAACCATGGGTTCTGCAGCATTAGCTAAGGTGGTGGGACAGCCCCAGCCAGTGGTGGCCCCAGTAGACTTAGCTTTCACTCCATGGAGTTTTGGGGCAGGGGCTCTGCCTGCTGTACGTTTTAGCAATAATCATGATTTGACTGTGCAGACGTCCTTTTCTCCAAGCTCCCAAGGGCTGTCCAGACCCCTGTGTCCTGGTGTTTCATCCCTCCCATTCTCTGCCTATGGCATTGTTCCTTGACCAATGAGGTGACTCTCCTTAAATTAGTCCACTGGGAATTGGGAGATCCTGGGACAGCCCCTTGAGGCATTTTCCTGTTGGTGCTTATGGGGAGAATCTGAGAGTCTCTCCCGCAAGGGCACTAGTGCAGTATGTTGGCATAAGGGGTGGGGGTAGTGTTCAAGTAGAGACTTTCTGGCTTTGATCATAGGAACCCATTTTGGGAAACAAGTAGAAGAGAGGTGGTATCAGGCTAGAGCATAGTCACTCTGCCCTCAAGGCTTCGCCTGGAGGCACTGCAAATATCCTCCCCACTCAGGAGCTCACTGACTTTCTCAGTCTAATTGTATCTCTCTGTGTCCCTGCCATCCTCGGGCTGTCATTTTGTACTCATTCTCCCCCTTGTTATCTGGGGAGCGTGTTCTCCTGTTTTCCCACTGTGGCAAGGAAGGGGGCAAGGCATGACTGAGCCCTTGGCCAAGGCATGGTCATCAGAGGTTCTGTTGGAAGTGGGTGCAAGGGACTTGCCCACATTCCTCTTCCCACAGCAATCTGCAGAGCGCTGTGTAAGCACCCTGCTGGATCTCATCCAGACCAAGGTCAACTACGTTGTCCAGGAAGCCATCGTGGTCATCAAAGACATCTTCCGCAAATACCCCAACAAGTATGTGCCCGCCCCTCCCAGTGTGAGAGTGATGTGGCTCCTGCTGGGGACAGGGGTGGTGGGTAGGAAAAGCAAGAAGGAGCCTCTCCCTTCTTCCTTATTGCTCTGTCATAAATGGCATTCTCAAAAGAAACCCATTGTTTTTTTCTTCTGAGCTGCTTCTCCTCTGCTCCCCACACCAAAATAAGCACTAGAATGTAACAGATAAACTCAAATCCCATTACTCACCGCTCTCTCAGAGTCTTGCGGTGCAGCTTCCTGTCTCTCTTGGCCCCTGCTGGGCCTCCCCTGGGTTGCCCGGGCTCTTTCATTGCTCATATGCCGTCTGTGTGCCCATCTTTTAGGTACGAGAGTGTGATCGCCACGCTATGTGAGAACCTGGACTCTCTGGATGAGCCTGAGGCCCGGGCTGCCATGATTTGGATTGTAGGCGAGTACGCTGAGCGAATTGACAATGCCGATGAACTGCTAGAGAGCTTCCTTGAGGGCTTCCATGATGAGAGCACCCAGGTGAGCTGTCCAGTGGGGTGACTTGGGGCAGGATGTGGGTCATGACTGGTGGCTTGGCACCACTACAGTCCCTCCTGCTCCGAAACCGTCCCCTCAGCCAGGAGGCCTCAGGGCCCTGCCCTTCATAATACAGCATTGACAGGGTGGTCAGGTAAGTGATGTAGCGCTGACAGGTGTGGCCCCTTTTCCTCTCACACTGCACTACCTAAGGGGATATTGTGAGGACGGTCTGTGATGGTGTGCACTGAATGCAGGCAGAAGTTTCTGGGTTTAATTTCGTATTTATCTTTGGGTAGGTAATACTTTGACTTGATTCAAAATTGAGAAAATAAGAACATATATAGTGATTAAGTCTTCCTACCACTTTCCTGACAACCCAGTTCTTTTTTTTAATCATTTTTTTTTTAAAGTTTATTTATTTATTATGGAGAGAGTGAGAGAGCACAAGCTGGGGAGAGGCAGAGAGAGACAGAGACACAGAATCCAAAGCAGGCTCCAGGCTCTGAGCTGTTGGCACACAGCCTGACGTGGGGCTGGAACCCACAGACCGAGATCACGACCTGAGCCAAAGTCAGACACTTAACTGAGCCACCCAGGCACCCCAACGACCCAGTTCTCCTCACAGAAGTCATTGGTGTCATTTATTGGTTTCTTGAGGATACTTCCAGAGATAGTATAGGAATACACACCTCTACATACAAGTAAACATATACAGATGTAGTTGGTTCTTACTGTTCATGGTACTTACATTCTATAAAGTCACTGCAAACACTGAATTAACGAGTGCTGAACCCATTGTTTCTAAGAGAAGTATAGAGCTGAGTTCCTACAAGCCTCTAATTAAAATAGTTTCGTCAGTCAATACGGTAATCTTGTTTTTTGTGTTTCTGTTTAGGGACATTTTAATATGTATTATTGATTCATTCACATTGAACTTATGACCACCAGTACCATAACTCACACCTGCATGAAGCTTAAGTAACATATATATTTTCTCCATAAGGCACATCACAGCCTCCTTGCACTTGGGAACACTAGACAGCAGCACTTCAGCATTACACTTGGGAACCATTTTGGGTTTTTTTTGTTTTTGTTTTTTTTTTTAATTTTTTTTCAACGTCATTTATTTTGGGACAGAGAGAGACAGAGCATGAACGGGAGGGGCAGAGAGAGAGAGGGAGACACAGAATCAGAAACAGTGCTCCGTGCCTGGTTATCAGCCCAGAAGCCGGACGCCGGGTCAACCTCCACGACCGCCAGATCGTGACCTGGCTGAAGTCGGAACGCTTAACCGACTGAGCCACCCAGGCTTCCCCCCCCTCACTTTTTTTTTTAACATTTATTATTTTGGAGACAGAGTATATTACAGAGAAGAACGGGGAGGGGGCAGAGAGAGAGAAAGAGACAGAATGGGAAGTAGCAGGGCGTACTGAGCCATCAGCCCAGAGCCCAATGGTAGGCTCTCGAACTCAATGATCATAAGGCAAGATGGTGAGACCTGAGCCAAAGTCGGATGCTCAACCGACTGAGCCACCCAGGCGCCCCTTGGAGACCATTTTGAAAAAGTGAAAGTACCAACAAAAAAACAAAATGTGAAAGATATGGTACTAAATAGATTGTGAAAAGGCCACTTATTTATGGTAGGAGAGCTGAAACAACAAGGCAGAGCATCACCTTCTTGGACCTCAGCTGCAAGTATGTAACACCTCAGGCAACTTGAACTTTTCACTGCCCTGCACTTTGCTGTGCAAGATCGCAAAAGCCCCCAGACATTGATTTTGGGGTTACAAGTACATTTTAGAAAATAGGCAAATTCGAAATATGGACTCTGTGTATAAATACTAAGGCTCAACCATGTATATGTTGCCTCTCATTTATTTTTAGACACTATCATGGGGTGCCTGACCAGCTCTATTGGTAGAACATGCGACTCTTGATCTTGGAGTTGTGAGTTCGAGCCCAATGTTGGGTGTAGAAATTACTTAAAAATAAACACTACTGGGGACGCCTGGGTGGCTCAGTCAGTTAAGTATCTGACTTGGTTTTGGCTCAGGTCATGATCTCACAGTTTGTGGGTTCGAGCCCCACATCGGGCCCTGCTTGGGATTCTTTCTCTTTCTCTCTCTGCTCCTCCCACGTGCTCTTTCCCTCTCTCTCTCTTTCTCAAAATAAATATATAATCTTTAAAAATAAATAAATAAGGGACACCTATGTGGCTCAGTTGGTTAAGCATCCGACTTCAGCTCAGGTCATGATCTCACTGTTTGTGAGTTTGAGCCCTAGGTCAGGCTCTATGCTGACAGCTCAGGGCCTGGAGCCTGCTTTGGATTCTGTGTCTCCCTCTCTCTCTGCCCCTCCCCC